TTTTTCACCGCTTCGCAACACCAATTTGTTATTGTTTTCTTCGAAGACTTCCATGGTCACCGGTGTTGATTTTGGGGTACTTTAGCTTGTGAATAATTTGGAAATTATTTTACGTTTATGTTGCGCGATTGCTTGAGAGGTGTGCATTCACCAATTGGTTGACACAATGTGTCGTAAGGCAGCTGTCAATCAGTGTACTAACAGAGCAGAGGTCGCACCATGACCTCGATCTGAACGCCCTCCCGAGCCCGACCAAAAAATCAGCGGGTAGGGCGGAATTCGGGAGTTTTTCATTACATGGCATATTTTTCGGTCAGGAAGTTAAAATTGAGTGAAGCTCTGAAGACATTTCAATGAAAGCAACCGAATTTTTTCAGGGAAAATAAAAATGTTTGGTATATATTGCACAAAGGTACACATAAGTTAAAGGATATTCGCAAGCATATGCGATGCAGTATGTGTTTACATTGGATCAGAGCAGAAGCCAATAGATGTATGTTTATATTACAAAGCTGCAAACGATGCTGTAAACTCTTTTCAACTACGTCCAATGCAATGTAATTACGAGAATATGTGAATGGTTAATTCCCCTTACAAATTTCTTATCAGTAATCGATTTTTGTCTCAAAAGTTTGCAATTGCAATGACGTACATGGAAAATCAACACTTTCTAATCAATTCATCTCAATTAAATGAAATATGAAAACGTGCCATTTGTTTGTGTGTAATATTTTGAGATTATCTTGTTTGTTTCATCATCAATTTGTATAAATAAGGTAGCACAGTCGCGAAAATAGTAAAGTTGTCATTACACTTTTACGCTGCAAATATTCGCAAGTGAATTCTTTTGATTCTTCGAAAAAGTGTTGTGTGTACTTTTCTTTTAAAGTGCACTGTGTTGTTTTCTATCGTTTGTGATAGGTAGTTGTATCTAGAGTTTGGTAGCCAGCGAATCAAAGAGAATCTATCAAACATCCGTTGAAGACAACCATTTCAGTGAAAGGAAAAATCGTTGTGTGCTTGCATCGACTTTTTTGGGGTATTCCATCAAAGTGTGTGGATTATGGATTTTAAAACTAAAAAGACGAGGTCCAAATCACAAAGTCATTTTCGGTAGTTTCCCAAACAAAATTTGCAGTTTTTCATTGGGAAAAAATTATTCAAGTTGCTGTTTATACAAAAAAAAATATGCAAAAAAGAGAAAAAGTGTACATCCTTTCATTTAACGTTTTAACTTAAAAGCAAGTGGAAAAAAATGTGCTAGCGAATTCAGTGATAGCATTTAATCTGTTGCCTTTTGTAATGTATTATATTGTCATTTACAAATACAAAACACACATACAGTCAAAGGCACAATATATAAACAACTCTAAGCTTTGACCTTGTGATTGCAAAAAATTAATAAAATCACAATGAATTTCCCCCCCCAACCAAATATATTGTGAAATTCTTGAATCAAACTTCTTATTATGTGAATGTTTATCAGCCAGGCACACGAACGATGCGAAGCATAAAAGAAAACAAAAAAATTGGAATTTTTGTTACAGCCACTTACACTGCGTGCTTTACTGGACTTGTTTTTGGTTAAGAAAAAAACATTGTGAATACGTCATACGGTTCAATAAATTATTGATTTATTTCCTTTCGGTTTTTTGAAGAATTCTGTCAGAAAAGTTAAACCAATCGTGACTAATGCGTGAAAGGCAAAGGTTCAAAATATAAGTTTGGAATTGATGTAGAAAGAACCGTATAAGTTTTATTGTTTGACCCTCTTTCACTTAGTGATCTCACATTTCATCTCGTGAATTTTGGTTGTTGAAGATCTAGTTTTTTGCATAATTTGGAAGTATTTCATTCAAGTATTTGCAACTGGTTTTCATTTGTATTTCAGCACATTCGTGGTCGTATTTCACAAGAAATTGCGTTTCGATCTTTTTGTGCTTTGTTAAAAGGAATGAAGTTGTTCGTTGTATTACTTGTCGGTGCCTTTGCGGTTTTGATAAACGGTTTTTCAGGTAAAATATATTTATTTTTAGTATTCTATTTGCGATCTATTTCTATTCTTTTCTATTTTTAAAATTATGTTTTATTAATTTCTCTTTGAACTATAGACATTCGAGTCAAGCGATCCGATGAAAAGTAAGTCGACTGTTGATGATTTATTCACTTTTTTCAAAATATAATAATAAATTTATATTACAGTGATTGGCAGGGATTGCATAAAGCTGCCTATAACGGTGAGTGATAATTGCGCAAAGATCCTTGATTTACTTAAAATTTATGAACGTTTATACACAGGTAATTTGCAAGAAATGAGAGATTTACTAAGACGTGGAACAAACGTTAATGTCCGTGGAAAAGACAATTGGACGCCACTCCATGTGGCGGCCAGATATGGTAATTTTTGTAAATAATTTTGAACCATACACTTTTTGGTGACATCGTCAAACATACGCGCCAGCAGTGTTGAGTCAAACACCTTTCGACCGTACTATAAAACGACTATCATTTTCACATTTAGACAAAGCAGAGGTAGCGAGACTTCTCCTTGCAAATGGTGCCAACGTAAATGCAGAAGATAAGGAAAAATGGATCCCAATCCATGTAACGGCAAAACATGGTAAAACATCATAATCACATCAAGTTGATATCATATAACAGAAATTTAATTAAATTTTTGATTCAGGAAGTGTAAATGTGGCAAAAATTCTGATTCAAAATGGCGCAAATGTGAATGCTAAAGATTCTTTACCCAATAAAAGAACGCCTTTATTCGAAACGGCATGTTACGGTCAGGTAGAAGTTGCTAAAGTTTTGATTGCAAATGGAGCCGATGTAAACGCTAGAGATATTGGTAATTGGTTACCACTTTTTCTGGCCATACAATGCCACCATGCATTACCCGACAGCAGAGCTCTTGGTATTTTTTCATAATATTTGAATTAAGTGAATCATTTCTAATTTGTTTGCTCTCTTAAACCAGGGGAATTGGTCAGACTCTTTCTTCAAAACGGATCAGATGTGCATGTCGTAGATAATC